ATTGTGCTTGCTAATGTTGAAGGGGTTCATTTTTTCACAAAATTTGGTTTGCTAGCTGCTTATTTGCTTCACTTGAACCTCAAGGTTATAGTTACGGTTTCTAAAAAGAAGGCTGCTATCAGCAGAATTTATCTTCAAGGAGATAAATGCTATTGTTTTGACCTTTGGAATTGTTTCTACTTCTTGATCAAATTATCAGTCTTTAGTAACTCAGGAAAATGGGCAGTGGTTCACATTTTTGCTAAGTGTATAGATAACAAATGTGCTTGACTATTGTTCAAAGCAGATATTGAGATCCCAAGCAAAAATGGTCAGGGAGACAGGTATACTTCCTAACAAGAAAATGGCAGTGGGATCTCAGATATTTCGTACTGACTCTTTATACGTACACAGTTTCAGTGTACTTACAGTTAAGTACAGGTTGCTTTAACGGTCTAGCAAAATAAGAATTGCGAGCAGTACAGATAAGCGAGAGATTCAGGTGTGAATGAACATGTAGTGGTTTGGCAGTGACACCAGGCACAGAGCAGATAAAATGCTAGTTCTCTGTGCCTCCTTTCAGAAGAGGTATCTGAAACTCATCCCAAACCCTTTCAGGTAATTTTTAAACTATTTTATTATTTTTATTTGGCCACACCACGAAGCACGTGGGATGTTAATTCCCTGATTAGGGATCAATCCCATGCCACCTGCCATAGAATCACAGAGTTTTAACCATTGGGGCTGCCAAGGAGTTACCCCTTTTTAGTTAATTTAATACTTAGCTGTTTGCTTTATAGCATTGCTCTTTGAAGCGCAGATAACAGAGCTATAGTGTAATGTGAAATCAGCTTAGTAGGTTGCAGCCAACATTTAGTAGTTGAGAGAAAGAGAGAGAGAGGGCGGGGGGAGAGAGGAAAAGGGAAGGGAGAGAGCAGACAGCCAGTATGGTAACTATAAGTATTTTGTGAAATGTTTGTTTCAGTTACACATGTCAATATCTGTGCACTAGAATGCAATGTCAAACGTTTTCCTTACTGTGAATTCATAGTCAGTTGGAAAGCCATGCCCTTACATCAGGGAGGACTCTGGGAGGATGGCAGCTTGAACTTGGCTCTGTCCTTGTCCCCCAGCTCTGCTAGAGTAGACCCTTTTGAACAATGATGATGACATTAAAGAATTATACATTTTAGGTATGATATGGACATTGTTATTTTGTTAGATCCTTATCTTTTAGAATATATACTGAAATATTTACAGGAGAGATTATGTATACAGGGTTTATATCCAAATTGCTCCACAATAAGAGATGCCACCACAAGGAGAACCCCGAGCACCGCAATGAAGAGAGGCCCCCACTTGCCACAGTTAGAGAACGCCCACACAAAAGCAACAAAGACCCAGCACAGCCAAAAATAAAAATTAAATTTAAAAACATTAACTTATCAAAGTGATGTTATTAAAAAACTAACAAATTTAACTAGGAAACTAGGAAGATAAAAAATTTAAAAGGTAAGAACTGAAATCAATTATATAGGAAAGCAATAGAATAAACAAATTGCCCACCCCCAAAATGCTGGATATTTTTTTAAAAGACTAGTGAAAACAACACCTGGTAAACCTGATTAAGAAAAAGAGATAAAGAAGACAATCACAGCATCAGAAGTGACAAAAAATATATGTGAAATAATGTATACAATTTTGTAGCAAGAAATAAATTGAAACCCTACCAGAATTGGGTGATTTCCTAACAAAACAGAAATTGTCAAAATAAACCCCAAGAAGAAAATGAAAACTTGAATAGATAAGAACCATAGAAGAATCTGGAAAGAGGTACAAAGGTTGTAAAGGACTCCTGGGCAAGAAGGATACACAGCTGAATTCCAACTTTTAAAGACAGGATGATTCCAAATTTAATGTGGGCCATAGAAAAATAAGGAAATCTCCCACATTTCTTCTAGGAAACTTTTTCAGTTAGTTCACTAGAATTCAACATGAATAGTGTATTTGTTTTCTAATGCTACATAACAAATTACCACAAACTTTCCAGCTTAAAACAATATACATTTGTTATCTCAAAGTTTCCATGGGGCAGGAGTCCAAGCATAGCTGAGCTGGGTCTCACAAGACTTCAGTCAAGGTGTCAGCCAGGCGGCTTGCTCATCTGGAGTGCAGGGTGATCGTAAAATTGGTGGCAGAATTCAGTTACTTGTGATTGTAGGACTGAGCCTATTAGCTCCTGGAGCCCATGCCTCTCCATGAGCATTTCATAACATGGCTTTTTGCCTCTTCAAGACCAGCAGGAATGCATCTCTCTTCAGGAAAGATTCTTTTAAGGCCTTTTACTTGAGTAAGTCAGATTCCACAACCCACCCACTCCCACCCCCTCGGAATAATCTCCATTTTTTTAATTAACTCAAAATCAACTGACTTGGGACCTGAATTACATCAAAAAATCTCCTTCACCGTTACCATAGACTGTGATGTAATCAGAGGAGTGACATTCATCATAACTACAGGGCCCACCGGTACTTGGGGGAGGGATTATAGACAGCGTGATCACCATGGGGTAGGAATCTTTGGGGCCATCTTAGAATTCTGCCTACCACAGACAGGTTAAAAAGAAAACTAGAGTCTGGCCAATACTGAGTATCTGGCAGCAACAGACCAGAGTACCATCTTTGTATTTTCATTCATTCATTCATTCATTCATTCATTCATCTATTTTGGCTGTACTGGGTCTTCGTTGCTGCGCACAGGCTTTTCTCTCTAGTTGCAGTGGACGGTCATTGCAGTGCATGGGCTGCTCATTGCAGTGGCTTCTCTTGTTGTGGAGCACAGGTTCTAGGTGCTTGGGCTTCAGTAGTTGTCTCACACAGGCTTAGCTGTCCTGGGGCATGTGGGATTTTCCCAGACCTGAGACCAAACCCCTGTCCCCTGCATTGGCAGGTGAATTCCTAACCACTGGACCACCACGAAAGCCCGACATTGGAGTTTAAAGCGTATGCTATGCCACGTCGCATCAGTCGTGTCTGACTCTGCAACCCCGTGGACTGTAGCCCACCATGCTCCTGTCTATGGGATTCTCCAGGCAAGAATACTGGAGTGGGTTGCCATGATCTTCTCCAGGGGGTCCTCCCAACCCAGGGGTTGAACCCACAGCTCATTATGTCTCCTGCATTAGCAAGTGGATTTTCTACCACTAGCACCACCTGGGAAACCCATTTAAACTTTCAAAAATAACTATGCTTATTATATTCAAGAAATTAAATGACAAGATGGAAAATTTAGGTGAACTGAAAACTAAAAAAAGAACAAAATGGAAATATTAGAATTGAAAAATAATATTCAGTGAAGGGTTAAATAAAAAATTAGATACAGCTGAAGAGAGACTTAATCAACTAGATGATAGGTTAGAAGAAAATATTCAGACTAAAATATAAAGGAGAAAAAAAGTGAAAAAGGAAAGTGCATGAGATATATATGTTAAAACAGTTCACTTTTCCTGTAAGTATAACTAAAGCCCCACAGAGAGAAGGAAGAGAATGGGGCTATATGACTGCACAAGCTACATATACTTGCTTCAGCTTCCTTTTTTGTATATAGAGGTTTAGTAATCTACCTATAGGGTCATTGGATGGATTAAATGAGATAACATTTTAAGCAATAGGCCTAATACTTTGTACAAGGTGAGTACAGTAGGTGGAAGCTACAGGATATTATCACCGTCATCATTGTCATCAAAATTAGAATGTCAAGAAGAATACGAAGAACAAAGTCATGTGACTCAGACAGAAGAACCCTTGATAATTTTGTGAACTATTCTGCTGTATTGCTGTTAAAAAAAAAAAAAATCTTTAAAAAAGAAAACAAAAACCTTTATGGACATAAAGCTTGTAAGGAAACTAACTTCTTAGTATTTTCTGAGTTACGTATTTACATCACAAAAAGAGGTATGTTTGTGTCTGTTGCTAGCTGAGTGTGTGTGTGTGTGTATATATATATATATGAGATAAAAAAGAGCCATAGACAAAGACTGAGAAGCTAATTATTTGCATATTTTGGGAGGCAACATCATCATTATTGAAGATAAATGTAAAAGCCCTGCCAAGATACACATATTCATAAAGAAAGTAAAAGTGTATGAATTTACTTAAGAGAGGGAAAGGAGTAAAAGAACATGACTTCAGGAATTACCATAGTAATTAAAACAGCAGAGTGATAATTAAAGCTCATAAATTTAATATAACTATTAGCATTTTCTCTTGCAAGAAATGGTGGATTTCTCCCTCCCCCAGGAAATGACACCTGTGAGCAATTATCTCTTTTATCATTGCTATTCAGATTATTTACATAACTTGTGCTCATTCAGAATTCACTCTTAATGCTTTTTTTTTAAACAATGCCTCATCTTACGCTCGATTCTCTCTCTGGCCAGGAAAGTATTTGGGGATTATTGATAATTATTATTATTGGTGTGACACAAATGGACAAAACCATTATTGGAGGGCCTACTGTACAGCTATTTTGCTCTGGCTTTGTGGGCAGTACTTTTTTTTTGGGGGGGGGGAATAACAGATTAGGTACTGTAACTTTATAAAGGCTTGCCTAAATCAAGAAGCAGCACACACACACCTAATTTATGCAAACTAAAAATGTATATACACAGCACAATACTGTGATACTGGATCATGATACATTACCAGCACACATAACTACTACTGTTATTAATAAACCTTTGGGACACTCAGTTTTATGCCCAACAAGACATCAGTAAGTCTTTAAAATCTTCTCTTCCTCCTTTACGGGAGAGTATTTAGTATTTCTAGACATTAATTTTCCCATCTAATATTCGAACATAGGAAACCAATTCCACAAGGTGCTTTAATTGATGAGACCTCAAGTGCTGTTTTCTCTTGAATTTTTGGATAGTAAACAGTCCACAGGGACCACACACAAATACTATGACAGAAGAGTTGGTATATTAAGTCTTTTGATGGGACTTGATTGGTGATGAAGCTTTATGACATGCTTGAGCAACGTGAAGGGGATCCCATCTGAGTTAATACTTTGTCCAACCACTGCAGAGGTCCATTCAGATGAAGTTCAATCCAGCAAGGAGTGCTTGTTACCGTCTGCCTTCGGTATTCTGCTCCCCACCCTTTCACAAAACTCATTCTTATGGTGCACATTCTAGTTAGCTGATACACGGCTTCAAAACCCTGATGAACGGACTGAGCCAGCAGAGCAGCAAATTCCTGGTTGTTGAAGATCTTCAGATTACAGCCTGGGGGAATTTTACACACGGTTGCAGGGTGCCAGCCGTATCTCTGATTACAGTTGGGGCTCTGCACAAAGATTGCACTATCACTTAGGTACTCAGCAAAAACTTCCCCACCTATGTAATATAAGCGCACTCCTCTTCCTATATATCTTCTTGTCATTTCTTGTCTTTGTCTATATATCTTCGTAGCATTTCTGTTTACGTTGGAGAGTAAACCTAGGCAGAATCTCTCAGAATTTGATGGATCTGTGAAACCGTCTATGGTGAGTGAGGGCTGTGAGGCATGGAAGGTCTCTCCAACCCTCTGGTTTAATTCATAATATGCTATTGAACACCAAAATGCAGGCTCTGAGTAAGTAACTGGCTGCAAGTCCAAACTATGATTAACAGGGTAAAGAGTAGTAGGAGATAATTCTGCTGGAGATCCTGTATCCATACTTGGTTCAACTGTTGATCACTTGTTTCTCCATCTTCACTGATATATCCAGGAGGTGGCGTTTCTGGGATATAATTACTCTGAGGCTCGATTCCTGCTGGGAAGTTAGTGTTTTCCGGAATGGAGTGGGTATAGTCGTCCAGAGGGGGCAGCTCTGTTAAGATCTCCGTGTGCCGGGGCACCAACACCGGCGGCAAAACTGGTGTCTCAACTCTCTGGTAGTGGTAAGGGTTTACACATACTTCATCCTTTTTAAGATTAAAAGCATATTCGAAGTTTTCAATTGCTTTGAGTTCATGATGACTGTGAAGATCAGGCCAGCGCCATAATCGGCAATATATTACATGAGGCAGTCCTTTTCGATGGGACACCTGAAGACGATCATCTAGAGACCTGGTTTGTTCAGAGAAGCTGTAAAGGCCTGTTGTATCCCACTGATCTATCGTATTTGATGTACTCAGTCCCCAAATTTCAGAGCAAGTTCTTGGTATGGTAACACATTTAGTATTACAATTCTGAGTGGTGATGGCTTTCTCAAGCTCATCTAATCGTCCTGTTTTCTTCAGCTTCTTCACCAAACTTTTAACTGCTTTCTCACACCACTTTTCTTCCTGTGCATTCTGCTTTCCTCCACCCACTCCTCCAGATCCACCAGCTGACTTCTTCCATCCCAACAGTCTCTTCACAACTGGTGGAGTGAACGGCAAGATGGACGACATGGTCTTACTGAAAGCGGTGGTCCACTCTAAGAAAATATCCTCCTTAATCTAACCTCCGGGCGGCTCGCTCAGCGCTCGCTGGCTGGTGGCTAGGAGCTGCTCCGCCACCGCCGCCGCCGCTGCACGGTGTGGACAGTACTTTTTGCTTGTTTAATAGGAAATCTGATTATCTGTAAGAGCCTGCTGCGTTATAAACATTATGAACACAACCTTCCCTGTACCATCATTCAGCTCAGTGATTCCTTCAATGAGAACTTACTGACTATCTACTCTATGACAGGGTGAAGCCTAAGGATAGGGAAGGTGCTATGATATAAACATGAATAGAAATAGCCTGTGAAATGGTTATAATGCTATGCTTTAGACAGAGCTGAAGTTGTACATATATACAATGGAATATTACTCAGCCATAAAAAGGAACAAATTTGAATCAGTTGAACTGAGGTAGATGAACCTAGAGCATGTTATATACATAGTGAATTAAGTCAGAAAGAGAAAAACAAATATCATATATTAACACATATATATGGAATCTAGAAAAATGGTACTGATGAACCTATTTGCAGGGCAGGAATAGAGACACAGAAGTAGAGAATGGACTTGTGGACATGGTGGAGAAGGAGAGGGTGGGACAAACTGAGGAAGTAATATTGAAATATATATAAAGCCATGTGTAAACTACATAGCTAGTGGGAAGTTGCTGTATAGACACAGGGAACTCAGTCTGGTGCTCTGTGATGACCTAGAGGAGTGAAACAGGTGAGGGGGAGGGAGGCTCAGTAGGGAAGGGACATATGTATGCTTCTGGCTGATTCACGCTGTACAGAAGAAACCAACACAACATTTTATTTTATTTTTTCATTATTTTTATTAGTTGGAGGCTAATTACTTTACAATATTGTAGTGGTTTCTGCCATACATTGACATGAATCAGCCATGGATTTACATGTGTTCCCCATCCCGATCCCCCCTCCCGCCTCCCTCCCCGTCCCATCCCTCTGGGTCTTCCCAGTGCACCAGCCCCGAGCACTTGTCTCATGCATCCAGCCTGGGCTGGTGGTCTGTTTCACCCTTGATAGTATACTTGTTTCAATGCTATTCTCTCAGAACATCCCACCCTCGCCTTCTCCCACAGAGGAGTCCAAAAGTATGTTCTGTACATCTGTGTCTCTTTTTCTGTTTTGCATATAGGGTTATCGTTATCATCTTTTTAAATTCCACGTATATGTGTTAGTATACTATATTGGTCTTTATCTTTCTGGCTTACTTCACTTTATATAATGGGCTCCAGTTTCATCCATCTCATTAGAACTGATTCAAATGAATTCTTTTTAATGGCTGAGTAATATTCCATGGTGTATATGTACCACAGCTTCCTTATCCATTCGTCTGCTGAGGGGCATCTAGGTTGCTTCCATGTCCTGGCAATTATAAACAGTGCTGCAATGAACATTGGGATGCACGTGTCTCTTTCAGATCTGGTTTCCTCGGTGTGTATGCCCAGGAGTGGGATTGCTGGGTCATATGGCAGTTCTATTTCCAGTTTTTTAAGGAATCTCCATACTGTTCTCCCTAGTGGCTGTATTAGTTTGCATTCCCACCAACAGTGTAAGAGGGTTCCCTTTTCTCCACACCCTCTCCAGCATTTATTGCTTGTAGACTTTTGGATAGCAGCCATCCTGACTGGCATGTAATGGTACCTCGTTGTGGTTTTGATTTGCATTTCTCTGATAATGAGTGATGTTGAGCATCTTTTCATGCCAACACGACATTTTAAAGCAATTATCCTCTCATCAAAAAACAAAAAAAAAACACCTCTAAGGGAAAAGAAAGGATGTGCCAGTTAGGAAGTTTCATATTGATAGTTACAGAAAACCTAACTCAAACTGGCTCAAACCAAAAGGAATTTATTAGTACATTAGGCCTTTAGATAAGACTTAGTCTAATGTCCCAGTGACTAAATGCACTCAATATTTATTGAGACCCATAGGCACTGGGAACATATCAGTGTACAAGACACACAAGGTCCATGGTTTCACTGAACTTATATTTTAGTGGAGGATACACACAATTGATAAGAAAAAATATAAGAAAATGTTTAGAGAGGAAATAAGGTGTTGTGATAGTGTAATCAGGGGGTTATAGTGCTCAGTCGCTCAGTCATGTCCAACTCTTTGTGACCCCATGAACTGTAGACCACCAGGCTCCTCTGTGCATGGGATTTTTCAGGCAAGAATACTGGAGTGGGTTGCCACTTCCTCCTCCAGGGGATCCTCCAGACCCGGGGATTGAACCGTCGTCTCCCGCACTGGCAGGCAGATACTTTATCACTGCGCCGCCTAGGAAGCCCAGTTAGGGGCTTACTTGGTTTTAAGTGCTCAGAAAGGCTTGTCTGAGGAGATGGCATTTAGACTAGGATGTGACTGACAGGAAAGAGGCAAGTAGTGGGAGGAGCCTGGGTCGACTAAGGGTCAGAAATGAGAACATAGGGAAGGACGTGAACGGTGGAAGCATGCAGCCATCAGACCATGGATGCCATAGGAGAGAGGATGAATTTTACTCCAATGTGATAGGAAGAAAATGGAAGGTTTTGAGCAGAGTAGTGACATTAATTTCTATTTCAAAAAAGGTATCCATGGATGCTATATTCACTTTCTGTTGCTGCTGTATCAGATTACCAAGAACTTCCTATGCTTAAAGCATTACCTCTCAGTTTTGTAGTTGGAAGTCTTCATGGCTCAGCTGTTTGCCCTGCTCAAACTCTCCTGAGAAATCGAGGCTCCCTTCTGAGGGTTCTGGGGATGAGTCCATTTCCAGCCTCATTCTGGTTGTTGGCAGAATTCAGTTCCAAGCACATGTGGAACTAAGGTGCTCACTTCTCTGCTGGCTCTCAGCTGGGGACCACCCTTAGCTCCTGGTGATCCCTCTGTGATCCTTTCTCCTAGTCTCCTACATCTCAGGACCAGCAACAAGGTTAGGAGCCCCACTCTTGCATCACTTCTCACGTCTATCTCCTGTCTACTGCATCTTTCTGATTTCAGCTGGGGAAAGTTTTCCACTTTTTAAAATTGTATTTATGTTTGACTGTGCGCTGGGTCTTCATTGCTGCACATGGGCTTTCTCTAGTTGTGGCGAAAGGGGACTGCTCTCTAGTTGGGGTGCACAGGCTTATTCTTGAGGCAGCTTCTCTTGTTGCAGAGCACAGGCTCTAGATCATGGGCTCAGTAGTTGTGGCGCTTGGGCTTAGTTGCCCCACAGCACGTGGAATCTTCCCGGACCCTTGTCCCTTGCATTGGCAGGCAAACTGTTAACCACTAGACCACCAGGAAAGTCCAAGTTTTCTTTTAAGGGCTTGTGGCCTTAGATTGGACCCACCAGAAATTATAGGATAATCTCCCCATCTCAGGGTTTATAATCTTCAAGGTTTATAACCTGCAAAGACCATTTTGCCAAGTAACAGGACATATTCACAGGTTCTGGAGGTTAGGAAGTAGAAATTGGGGGAGGAGGGCATTACTCAGCCTACCACAGATGCTGTGTGGAAATCAGACTTGAGCGGGCAGAGGGTAAAATTGGAAGGGTATTTCAGTACTCCAAGGAAGAGGGTATGGCTTGGGGAAAAGAATGGTAGTGATGGAGAAGGAAAAGAAGTAGGGTAAAATAGGAGTTGCTGGTGGATTATACTTTGAGAATAAGGGTAAAATCAAAGGAAACACCTAGATTTCTTTTTTTTTTGACTTGGAAAACTGGGTATGTGATGATAGTACCTTTTGATATGGAGAAGACTGGCATTGTAGTCATTATTGGTGTTCAGTAATCTGGTTCTCCCCTCTCCCTGCCCACCTTTTGGTTGGATGCAGCATTATGACCAATTCTGGCCAATGAGATGTGTCACTCTTGGGTCAGAGCATTTACCCTCCCAAAATTCTCAAGAGCTCTCTCCCAGTTGGTGGCTGCTGCTCCATCAGCCTAGGTCCTGAAAAAGGATGGTGTGGAACAGACCTTCCTGCCAAGTTACATTCAACATGTAAGAAATAAACCTTGGTTGTTTTAAGTCACCTTGATTTAGGGTTGTTTGTTACTGCACCTCAGTCTCACCTATCCTGACCTGACATTTCTGGGGAAGGAACAGCCCTTTTGCAGAAGCAAGAATAAAGAGTTATGAATTGACCAGTTAAGTTCATGATGCTTAATCAGTGGTGTGTCAGAAAGTGTGCCTCTCTGTCTACTTCCCTGTTCTGCTTCAGTTTTGTGTTTCTGTCGCTAAGTTATATCTGACTATTTGCAACCCCATGGACTGCAGCACGCCAGGCTTCCCTGTCCTTCACTATCTCCCACAGTTTGCTCAAATTCATGCCCGTTGAGTCAGTGATACCATCCAACCATCTCGTCCTCTGCTGACCTCTTCTCCTTTTACCTTCAATCTTTCCCAGTATCATGGTCTTTTCCAATGAGTTGGCTTTTTGCATCAGGTGGCCAAAGGATTGGAGCTTCAGCTTCAGCATTAGTCCTTCCAATGAATATTTAGGGTTGATTTCCTTTAGGATTGACTGGTTTGATCTTGCTATTCAAGGGGCTCTCAAGAATCTTCTCCAGCACCACAGTTTGAAAGCATCAATTCTTTGGCACCTAATCTTCTTTATGGTCCAGCTCTCACATCTGTATATGACTACTGCAAAAACTGTAGCTTTGACTACATGGCCCTTTGTTGGTAAAGTGATGTCTCTGCTTTTTAATATGCTGTCTAGGTTTGACATAGCTTTCCTTCCCAGGAGCCAGTGTGTTTTAATTTCATGGCTGCAGTCACTGTCCATAGTGATTTTGTCTATAGTGAAACCCAAGAAAATAAAATCTGTCACTGCTTCCACTTTTCCTCTTCTATTTGCCATGAAGTGATGGGACTGGATGCCATGATCTTAGTTTTTCCAATGTTAAGTTTTAAGCCAGCTTTTTCAGTCTCCTCTTTCACCTTCAAGAGGTTCTTCAGTTCCTCTTCACTT